GAACAATACTTTTAGCCAAGAGACTAACACTGTTAAAAGCAAGGTCATATCTATTACCATTTTCAAATAATAAGCCACTTCCGGTTTTCGCCTTTTTCGACCGGAAGCAAGGGTCACGTGATTTCACGCACACTGAATGAAATAAAGACGTCAACCTACTCTACCATTTGCCGGCAACAGAATGCTGCGGACGCGTACGGTTGATTTCTTATGCATTTTTAAATATTAAAATTGTCACAATTTAATTGCCTATAAATACACACCGGATGACGTCATCAAGACGTCATCATAACACAATGTTGTTTGAATTAGGGTCTTTGCTTGGACAAAGAATGGTGCAAATGAATTACTGGCAAAGAGTCAAAAATGCCTTTTGAAAATCAACAATTTTTTCAAAATGTCTGTGTACAAAGTCTATGGGAAAAATTAAATATTCAAAAATCTATAATAAATCACTTGATGACGTCACCATGACGTCACTCTTCGGGACACATCTTTGCTATAGGGACTATGCCTGTGGTAACTTTCGATGATGTATGACAAAGATTAATGCCAAAAGTGGCACTGAGAAAAAACGTGTACAAAGTCTATGGGATTTTGGCGACAAAAAGAAATAAAAACTAGAGGTCTATGTCTGTTTGCAACAGAACATAGGGCTTTTCCGCATTATGTTTTTTTTTTAGGTCATGTCTTTTCTGTTTTGTGCAAAACTGTGTGCATTTACGTTTTGTCTAACAAACCTCATTCAAATGGAAATTTGATTTTGGCATATTGCATTTGTCATATATAAAATATATATATAATCACAAGATGACGTCATAATGACGTCAGCTCAATATTTATTTGTAACACATCCCGGCCTGCCCCCATACCAAGTTTCAACCCAATCTAAATCACTGTTGATGAGATATAGGGGCTTAAAATATACAAACGATGACGTCACATGTCTAATGAATACGTCATTGTAACAATATTCGGCAGTGCTCATTATTTTATTGCGGTTTTAGTCTGTACAAAGTTTGAAAACAATCGGATTAATGAAAGTGTTAAATTTTGTAAGCAGAATAAATTGGCAATATTAAAAAATCGTAAACAAATCTACTGATGACGTCATCTTGACGTCATTTAAGATATTGTGTACTAGTGTTATTATCTATCCACCCACCAAGTTTCGTGACGATCGGACATTATCTTATATGTGTTTCAAAAAAGCGCATGTTTGATGACGTCATCATGACGTCACACATTTTTCAAAATTTTTCACATATACCTATTGCCTAACAAACCTAATACAAAAGAATTTTAAATGTAACATATTGGGTTCGTGATATATGGCTTAAAGGTTCAAAACTTCAAAAATCTATATAAAATCACACGATGACGTCATGATGACGTCACCTCAATATTTATTTGTAACACATCCCGGCCTACCCCCATACCAAGTTTCAACCCAATCGGATGTACTGTTCATGAGATATAGGGGCTTAAAATATACAAGTTAACAATGACGTCACATGTCTAATGATGACGTCATCGTAACAATACTTGGCAGTGCTCATTATTTTATTGTGGTTTTAGTCTGTACCAAGTTTGGAAAAAATCAGATTAATAAAAGTGTTGAATTTTGTAAGCAGAATAAAATTGGCAATATTAAAAAAATCTTTAAAAATCGACCGATGACGTCATCGTGACGTCATTCAAGATTTTGTGTACTAGTGTTATTATCTACCCACCCACCAAGTTTCAAGACGATCGGACATTCCCTTATATGTTTTTCGAAAAATCGCATTTTTGCTGACGTCATTATGACGTCACACATTTTTCCAAATTTTGTGCATTCATCTAATGCCCAGCAAACCTAATACAAAAAGAATTTTGAATTTATCATATTGCGTTAAGTGAGATATGGCTTAAAGGTCCAAAACTTCAAAAATCTATATAAAATCACACGATGACGTCATGATGACGTCACCTCAATTTTCGTCTATAACACATCCCGATCCACCTACATACCAAGTTTCAACTCAATCGGACTGACAGTTCTGTAGATATAGGACTTTGTAATATGCATATTAATGATGACGTAACGTGACCCATGATGACGTCATCATGACGTCGCTCGTCCGCACACATCTATGCTGTATGGACTATGTCTATGCAAACTTTGAACGATATGCAACAAAGTTTAAGGGCAAAAGTGGCGTGTAGAATAAACGTGTACAAAGTCTATGGGGTTTTGGGAAAAAAGAAGAAGAAGAAGAAGAAGAAAGAAAAACTAGAGATCTATGTCTGTTTGCAACAGAACATAGGGCTTTTCCGTATTATGATTTTTTTTATCAATAATACCCTGAATATGCATGAACATAAAATCTGTCAAATTTGCCGAAAAATCAGCTAAAACGGTCACTGTGGACAGGATTTCACCTCGGCAATACGATGTATGTGCGTGTGTACAAGGTCTTGGCTTGGACAAAGAGTGATCTATATAAAATACTGGCAAAGAGTCGAAAACGCACTTTGAAATCGACAATTAATTTTTAAATTTTTGATGACGTCATCGTGACGTCATTTCGAACTTTGCATACTAGTATGATTAACTACCTACCCACCAAGTTTCATGACAATTGGACCTTTCCTTATATGAGTTTTTGAAAAATCGCATTTTGATGACGTCATGATGACGTCGCACATTTTTCAAGTTTTGTGCGAATAGCTAACACATAACAGACCAAATGCAAAAAGAATTTTGCATTTTGCATGTTGCATTCGGGAGATATGGCTAAAAGGTCCCAAAAAATAAATATTCATATAAAATCTCAGGATGACGTCATCATGGCGTCACTCCATTTTTAATCTATAACTTTTCCTGGTATAGCCACATACCAAGTTTCAACCCAATCGGACCTACATTTCTGTAGATATAAGACTTCACAATATGTACGTAATTTTCAAAAATCAATACAAAAAATTAGGTGATGACGTCATCGTGACGTCATAGTCTTGGCATAATTTTTGTATGAGGGTCTTCCTTGGCTGTAACTTTGATGACGATTCCAGATCGCCAGTTATAAAAAATGGTGCCTTGAAAACGTGTACAAAGTCAATGGGTAAAAATCCAACAGCAGAAAAACTGCACCTTTAAATACGTGATTTGCCTTTAAACTGAAACATTTTTATAAAATATTACTTGATATTCTGACTCTTGGGAATATTTTCAATCAAATGGCAAACGTAAAAAAATACGATTTCTTTTCCTTCTCATAGTAATTCTTAGCCGGAGTTCAGAACTACATGTACTCAGTAAGATATATCAGTGTTGTATAGGAAAAGACTTGTGGAAAAAGCTGTGTACAAAGTCTATGAGAAAAAATAATTATTCATGAATCCATAATAAATCACTTGAGATGACGTCATCATGATGTCGTAGTCTTGGCATAATTTTTGTATGATGGTATTCCTGGCTGTAAATTTGATGACGATTCAGATCGCCAAGTTATGAAATGGTGGCTTAAAAAGGGGAAAAGTCAATAGGTTAAAAAATCCCACAGCAGAAAAACTGCACCTTCAAATGCGTGATTTTTCCTTTTAACTGAAACTTTTTATAAATATTACTTGCTATTCTAAATCTTGGGATATTTTCAATCAATGACAGGCGTAAAAAATAACGATTTCTTTTTCCTTCTCATAGTAATTCTCTAGCCGAAGTTCAGAACTACATAGTAAGATATATCAGTGTTGTAAAGGGAAAGACTTGTGGAGAAAGCTGTGTACAAAGTCTACGAGAAAATTAATATTCATAAATCCATAATAAATCACTTGATGAAGTCACCATGACGTCACTCTTTGGGACACATCTTGGCTATAGGAACTATGCTTATGCCAACTTTCAATGATATCTGAAAAAGATTAATGCAAAGGGCTATAATACGTCACTGTCTATGCGCATGCATGAACATAAAATCTGTCAAAGTTAGCCGAAAATCGGCTAAAACGGTCACTGTGGACAGGATTTGACCTCAGCCACACGTGCGCTGCAGGCTGACTGACATACAATGTATGTGCCTATGTACAACGTACGTGCATGTACATGTTCATGTATTGTGGACGTCCTGTCCTGTGCATGTTTTGAAGCAGAGGTTTTGTCAAGGTGAAGTTTTAGCGTGCGCAGGGTATGTTCGAGTTCGCTTATCGCCTCAAAACTTTGAAATGTTTTAGACCTACCCTTCAATCACAATTAAAGTAAAAACAAATATAAAACTGCCATGGTTGATTTTTCAGGAATTTTCAAATGAAAAGGGTCTTTTCATTATAACTTCCGT